GCGCCTTACGCACGCACCTCCACCTCACGGTGGGTGTAATCAGCGCTGCTAGCATGACTTTTTAAAAGATGGACTGTTACAATTTAAAAGTAAAATACCAATACAAATTGCCAAAGAATGGCAACTTTTTGCCTCTAAAATGTCTTCTTTAAAATATGATTAAATAGTAAACTTTAAAAGTTACCAAACTGATACTATACAACTACAGTGTTTCATATGTGTTTACTTATCTTAAGAGGACCAGAAATAAGCTTTAGGATGTTTCTTTCATTAAACCCTTCCTGGGCTATACAAAATTCCATATTTACAGGAAATGTTTCCTGGGAAGAAAGCTCAGGCATTCATCATACTCTCTAGTAAAATAAAACGGACACGATGCCCGACTTTCTCTAACCCGGCACTGCCTCCTCAGTTTCACGACTGTCCCTCAGATTGTCACGGCTTACCTAAGAGCAAGGGGCATAGCATGGGGTACAGTAAAATCAAAACAAAGCCAAGCCAAATTAGACCTCTGTACGTGTTTCATTTCATTTTGTTTTGAAACAGGGTCTAATCATGTAGCCCAGGCTGGCTTCAAAGTCACAGTGATCCTCCTGCCTCAGCCTCCCGAGAGCTGGGATTACAGGCATGCACCACCCCACCCCACCACAAACCTACGTACTTTCTAAAAAATATTTTATCGTTAGTAATGAAAGGATTATGGAAAGCTACTGTCCTTTTCAATTAAATTTCAAATTTTCTGCTATCACAGAGCCCAAGTTTTGGGTGGATCCGGGTATTTCCTCAACTGGACAGAATGCAAGCTTGATGAGAACAAGGATTAACTATTCCATTCACTAGAGTCCCCAGGCATCTGCAACAAGCACTCCTTTGACACACAGAAAAATGTGTTGAATCAGAGAACAGAGCGCGGGGTATCTTCGAGCCTTACCTAATAAACCAGCCAGCCAGATGGACAGGTCTTCCTGCATGGGCAGCAGCGTGGCTTCGTGCCTCACAGCTATCCACTCATCATACTGGCAAACATCCGCCAATCCTGGCCCGTGTCTGGGAGTCAGAGGGCTCCGTGGACTGAGCGGCAGATCCTCTCCAAACCACACCTGAAGAAAACGCCGATCAGCTGAATGGATGCAGCCTTTGCTCAGGGTCGCCATAATCCGTGTCTGTACTCAAACAATGAACTATAAAGCCACGCGTTACATACATGGGCACAAAACTGAGATGGCGCTCGGAAATTATAACTGAATTGGAAGCAAATGCTTAGTTTAGACACGTGCTGATGTTAACATCTTGATTCTGACGATTTCATTGTGTTTGTGTAGGAAGATGTCCTTGTTTTAACAAATACATCCTGAAGTTCTCTGTGGAGCAGTAGACTGGCCACTTAAGCAGTGCAACAAACTAACTCCAACATACTGTACTTAACAACTGCTCTGCACGCTTGTTTAAAAATTTCAAAGCATTTAAAAAAGTGTAGTGAATCTAGTCCTTTGTTGGCTTTTAATCAGAAAATATTTCCCTTTACAATTCATTGCACTTATTGAGATTTGTTGAGGGAAGTCTTACTATACCAAATCACAAGCCAAAGCAATACTTATGTAATCCAAATGAACTTTGGGGAAAGATAAAGAACCAGCTTCCAATCTTCTATGATAAGAAATAAACGTGCTTTTAAAAAAGAAGTCCTGAAGTCAAAGCAAGAAAATGACTGCAAGGATATGCAGAAGGAAGGAAAGAAATCTAGTAAGATTACCCAAAAACAAAGTGAAAAATAAGTAATCTGAGGAACATTATTTCCAGAATTATGTACAGGTAGAGACCGGCAAATGAATTCCTAGACATATGAGGATTCTATAAACATCTAGGATAAATACTAAATGTTATTTATTTCCCAGAATTCTCTCAAAATGATTTTAAAGGGAATATAGTAAAGATTTACTAATTCCTTCCTTCATAAGCATTTTATTTCATATAAACCTAGAACTCAATATAATACACTCAGTGCACAGTATTCAATGAAAAATACTTGTTACATAATTAAAGACTAGAATAGACACTAGCAAGTGCCTCTCTCATCAGAGCCAAGGTGCGTCATACCATCAGCCATACACTACAGCCCATCCAATGTGCTGCTGTCCTTCAACTAGGTGCCTGAGCTAAAATCAGGCAAAGCAGGCATGCGTGTTTGTCCACAAGTCCCCAGTCCTCATAACTCCCCTGGTGCCATCGAGCATTTCACAGGTGACAAGAAAGCCCATTATGCTTGCCTGTGCCTCTAGCCACACTGTTTCTCATATGTGACTGCACTGTTTTCCTGCCAGCTCTAATAGACAATGAATGATCTAGTGATTAAATCACTGCATAAATCAAGAGAAAATTGTTCTGTGATATGTTTGGGATTTCACCAGGTGCCGGCCACATTTTGGAAATCGTGCTACCAGCGCTATCTAGACCCAGTTCCGGATCAGGGATACACAAGCCGGAATTACTCTTTGGTGTGAGGTCTGTAAACTCCATGTGGCCAAATATTACCCCGTTATTTTTCTAAATAAAGTTTTATTGGGACATACACACACACACACATACACACACACACACACACACACACGATGAGCACAAGTCAGGAGGGTGGTTTGAAGAAACTTGATGGTGACCCTTGAAACTAATATTAGCAGAAGTCCTTCTTACTTTCCGCCACATGAGAGAAAGGAAGACATGCTGCATTACCCTCTTATTATAAGCAGAAGACTTAATAATACCTTGGGCCACTCAACAGCATGTAAATGTTAAAAAGTTAGATGTTCCTAACAAAATCTGCACACACGAAAGTTGTTCCCTCAGCTGAGAGTCATCATATGGAAGAAACTGGTAATCTACAGCCAATCTACAGAGCTCGCTCACACTTAGGCTACACTGCATGCCGACAGAAGAGAGCCGCTCCTCAGAAAAAGTTCAAAGCTTTTAGCAGATTCTCGAAAAGGACTACAAGTTAGAAGAAACAACAAATTCTTGCTCATTGGCTTTGGGATTGTGTGTTTCTTTAGTAATCAAAATAAAGAACATAGAGCCGGGGAGATAGCTCAATGGCACAAGTGCCTGCCTGGCAAGTGCAAGGTCCCAAGTTCGATTTTTGATACGAAAAAAGAATAAAGGACACAGAAGAACAACACAGGACATTTCAGTGTATTAAATTAATAAGAAATCAGTTGATGCTGGCTGTCCCCTCTCACAAGGCATTTATACTAGCTGTCTAATCCATTTATAACTAGCTGTCTAATCCAGCTAGCAAAGAATGAGGTAAAAATCTTTGGAAGTTCTCACCTGAGTGAGAAAGGTAAAAACCTCCATGAGACACATCAAGGGAAAGAGTGTTGGAAAAGAATTAATGAAGATAGGTGTGTAGGATCCAGATCAGAGAAGATTTCATGGACCCATAAGATGAAACCATGAAAAACATCAAGAGAAGATTAATGGCCCTTCAGGCAGAAATCAGAAAAACATGTATGCAATATGGCAGAGAAAAGTGCTCTAGGAGGAATCAAGGAAAAAACTGACAGGAAACTAATGAACTGCTGGGGCTGCAATAAAGACAGAGTAGAGAAAGACTCAGAGCAGAGATAGTTCCAAGTAAAAGGAATTCCGAACATGTGAAGATGGAGGAGGACCAAGCGCTTTGGGAAACCGGCCAGATCCCTAGGTGTCAAAAGGCCTCTTAGAAAAGCAGATGGGTGTGGGCAGCGGCACTGAGCAGGTCGCTGGGTAAGGAGAGCCGTCCTCAGGTTTTCTTTTCCGTTCCGCCTAGACAGGGTCTCACTATGTGGCTCAGGCTGGCCTTCGTCTGTCATTCTCTTTCTTAATTGAAAAAATAATGAAAAGAGTGAACAAAAGGGCAGGCTTTCGTGACACAAGCTCGAGGCCGAGGTTTACAGCTGCATAATTCTGGCGGGCCGTCAGGGCAGCCACAGTTCTGAGGCGCCGTCCAGGGAGTGCGGCTCCAGCAGGTGCTGGGCTTGTGCCACCTCACGCAGGGCCGGCTAGGCCCGGCCTGGAGTGAGGGAGCAGACACTCACACAGGGAGGATGCGATCTCAAAGGGGCAGAACTAAAGTCTGACTCGAAAGTCTTTCCGATGCATTTCATTTGCAGGTGCGTGCAGCTTTCTAGGCATAGGGATTCAATGTGACTTTTTTTTTTTTTTTTAATGTTTTTGGTACAAGGTCTCACTACCTAGCTTAGAATTATAGTGATCCTCCTGTTTTTAGTCTCCTGTAATCCCAGAAGAAAGCCTGGGATTACAGGCTTTAATGTGACTTTTATCTTTAACAATCTGATCAGATTCTATTTATATCAAAAGAAAGAAAAAAGGGAGATTTGAGAAATAGCAACTAGCAACCCTGGAATCACTCAAGTATCACATTATTCTGGTTCTTCTCATTCCTGCACCATAAAATAAAAACTTCACTCTTTCACGTTTCTCATTTTAATGCTTATTCACACCCAGGCATTCACAGAGCATGTATACAATTATCTAAAATTAAAAACAAATACATACATTTATTTTCACTTAAAGTTCTTTTAATTGCAAATACATATTCAATAGTATTGAGAGGAAAACTACAAAATATTTCAATATTTTTCAAGGTGGTATAATAAGATGCACCCACCAACCCTAAGAGAGTTCTGATTTTTCCAAATAGTCAACATGCATACAAGCCTAAAAATAAAACCTAGAACTAGAAAGTCAAAATACAGTACCCATTATTAAAATGTGCTATTTAAAAATTCTAGTGCAATAAAAACATTTGGCGATAATTGTAGTACTCCACTAATTATATTAATCCATAATGTAAATAGATATTTTTCCCAAGAAAAATACTTACTTGAATTGCAGGCTGCATGGTCATCTAGGTAAACATGAAACTGTTATTCTGAAAAAGAAATAATATATCAACAAGCAGGCAATGAAGCTTCCCTACTCCCTAGTGCCCCCAAATTGCACGATTTAGGGATGTGCTTGGCTCTTCTGTTCGCGAACCTAACACATTCTCTTCAAGTTAGGATAGTCTGATTATCGGAGAAGCCACAGTGACTCCTCACCTCTTGCTTCCTCAGGATATTTCTCATTTGAAAGAGGAAAACCCTAACCACACTTCAATACACTGTTTCTGTCACCGGTATCAAAGCAATTCTTCAAGTATCTGTCCAGCAAGATAAAATTAAGAACACAGTGTAGCTCTTCTGCTAGTCTCCTAGAATTCTACTTTTCTCTCTGAACAAAATATAAATATTAAATGAACATAAATAACATAAAACTAAACTGAAATTCAAGCATCTTTCATCTGATCTTCATAGAGATGATGCAAGCTTATTTGGATGGACTTTGGGTTTTGGTGTTGCTGTTCCTGTTGTTTGGCTGGTTGGTTTCTTTTTTTGGGGGGGGGGTAACCAAGAATTTAACTGAGGACCTTGCGCTTGCCAGGCAGCCACTGTGCCACTGAACTATCCCCGGCCCCTCAGACTTTGTATAAATTCACAAGCTTTTTGTGTTAGACAACAGGTAATAAAAGAAACTATCAACTTTAACTGTAAAACAAAAATATTCAATGCCTCCCTATAATAATTTTAAAAAACAAACAATCCCTCAATTTCAGCTTCTAGGTACTACTATTGAAAACCACAAGGAAAGAAAAACTTTAATTAAATGAATGTAATTCTTTAATGTTTTGTGAAAGGTTTAAAAACCCTCAGAATCATGTAGGATATACAAAACCAGGTTATTGATTGCTTATAGTAACACAATAAATTAATGTTTTTTATGTTTTACCACCATTGAAACATTCTAAGAAAAAATAAAATAAAATAAAATAAAGCCACTTCTAAGAGGCTAAAATGCCAAGAATTTCCACGGAGAAGTTCTGTTCTCCCAGTTTTTTTTCGTTTTTTTTTTTGTTTTTTTTTTTTTTTTTTTTTTTTTTTTTTTTTATATTTTTTATGTTTTTAGTACAGGGTCTACAGGGTCTCACTACGTAGATTGGACTTGTAGGATTCCCATTTTCAGCCTCCCAAGCACTGGGATTACGGGCACACGCCACCACACCCAGTCTCAACTGCAGTCTCAGCAAACCCCGAGGACAGGGCTAGCACAACACACCGGGGATTGAACCTGGCTGCCATGCTCTGCCTAAGCAGGCGCTTTAGTCGGCTGAGCCATCTGGCCAGCCCTCTCCTTGCAGGTCTAACAGACACACCTCATGTGCAGGGCTAGCTCACCATTCTTCCTCAGGAACATCTCCCCGGGCACCAAAGTTGATTGTGAGCTGAACCTAACCGAAGGCCTACTATGGGACCACATTTGCTTTGTGGGAAGGCAAAAGACAAGAGAATGTCCTTTCTGTTGTCGTTTTTCCTTCTCTCCTCCACAGCAAAAGGCCAAAGTACAAGTGTGCATTACTAACGAGCTTGTTATGCTTCCCACGAGCCAATTCAGTAGGGAATACATTTTCCTGTAGCATAAATAATCCTTTGTCCCCAACAAAGATCCACAGTAAGAAGCTTCCGAGTCCATTTTTTAAAAATGCAGCAAAGAAGCTGCCCCTACGAAAATGGAGTTCCTCATCACCAGACAAGAGCTGTAACAGTTGGAACTGCCAGCCCCGAACAAAAGCGAGCCCAAATTATAAGGCGTGTACACACGCAGAACAGTGACACATTCACAAAGCCCCATCGCAGGAATGCTCGGTCGCTGTGCTTCTCCAGAAAATTCAGCAAAATCAGTTGGATGAAATAAACGAGGAACTTGTGAACAATACTCAGTTACTTGAACTTTAGCAAAAGTCTTATGCATAGTCTTGAACCATTCTTGTGGAACTGAAAGAACTACTTTTAAACTGGCAAAGGTGTAAGCATCCAGATTATCTTTAAAGAGGAATTCTTTAAAGACCACTCAGATAAGTTATAATGAACCCTCATCACATACCCTCATATATTAAGTACCTTGTGTGTGTTTTTATTGGAAAATTATATAGTCAACATAGTAGTCAAGCATCCGTTCCTCAGTGTGGCCATTGCTCACGTGGTACAGTTTTCTGGCCATTCACTCACTATTCCCTTCCCAAACCATTCTTGTATCTTGGACATTTGACGACAGGAGTAGCTTCCTAGTTATTTCCAGCCCTGGTCTGCACCAGACCACTACGCTTGCTTATTCCTTCTTTTCATGCCTATTTTCATCATTTCTGTCTGTCCCAAAACATCTCAGCCTTCATCTTTTCACGTAAATCAATTATACTGAATCCTTAACACTTATTGTTGGAGCCACATCTTAATTGTCTGAGTTGGTACTTGCAGGGGAGGGGCCTCATTTTTGCATTTGTTTTTGCCTTTCTCCCTTTTTGGAAGTCTACTTTGACTCTTTACCAACAGAAGGCAGGGCTGGGGGAAGAACTCCCAGTTCAGCTACACGCTAACCACACTGGGATCTCTCCTGAGACAAACCTCTGCAAAGATCGAAAGCATGACATTCACTTCTTGGGAAACGTCCGACCGTGCACGCCCACCAGAAGCTTGCCAGGACTTGGGCCTCACCCCTGCATCCTAAAATGTGTCGTTGGCGCCACCATAAATAACACAGTGATTAGTTACAGTGAGGCTCTTTTTCATAGTTTGGCTTAGACCACAGGAGAAAGCCACCCTGTGGAACCAACCCTCAGTCTTGTGGCTGTAGGCTCTGAAGCCAGGCGTAACAGAACAACCACATTTTCCTTCCTCTTCCACATTATCACACATGCCGATGGAGAGAATTCAAAGTAGCACGGCTCGTTCTGATACAAGCCTGCGTTCAATCAGGAAGAAGAGCAAAAAAGCACAGAAGTTAAGCAAGCTTCATCAGGAAAAATACAGCATTAGTTGCCACTGATTCGCCCATCCATTCACCACTCAGCCACCAGTACTGGCGAGACCCATGGCTACAAGGGTGAGACAGGGACCCAGGCTACAAGGGTAAGACAGGGACCCAGGCCACAAGGGTAAGACAGGGACCCAGGCGGGAACAGTGGTGACTGCTGGGCAGAGGAAGAGGAGATTTGGGAGAAAGGCAGAGGGGCTCTTTCGATGGGAGCAGAAATATTTTATAGCATGGTAAGTGGTGAGAACATAGGTATTTTTATACAGGACTATCTGTCTGTACATGTGTTAAAAACCACTCCACATTTATAATGTTTCATTTAGAAAAAGTTGGAAAAAAATAACCTTGCTTATTTAAAAAAAAATAAGTCTCACATTGAAAATTTTGTCTTAAACTGGGCATGGGGCTACACACCTATAATCCTAGCACTCAGCAGGCTGAGACAGGAATATCCTCAGACAACTTGGGCTCTACAGAGGGAGTTCAAGACCAACTTGAATTACATAGGGAGAACCTGCCCCCCAAAAAAATACCCCACAAAGCGATTATGACAGATACTTTCCAATTGCCTACCAGAGAAAAGAGAAATGCTATATCCACACCTAACATGTTGCATATATTTTTAAATGTGAACTACATAACCTGCCATAAAAACACCAGGGTGGTAGAAGGTATGAGACACAGCTGGCACGCATCTAATTCACGAGCTGGAAGTAGTAAACCTTCCAAGCCTTGGCTGTTCTCATCTGAAGAAAAGGGCTATTACCACCTCCCTCATACAGCTGCTATAAAAATTAGAGATGATACAGACACAGTACCTGGCATACAACCAGCACTTAATAAATGAGTCATTATAATTCTATGGCCAGCCATAATTATAGTTCATTTAATATATTTATCAAATTAAAACTACACATCATTAAACATAATTTACATAGCTTCTTTTACCAATACAAAAATATGGCTATAAGTGAAGGTAAAAGTCTTCAAATACCCACATCAGAATCAGAACTCAGAACTTGTACCTAAGATTCTCTCTGCTAGAAAGAGGCTTTGGGAATTTATTTCTAACGCTGGCTCTTTGCTCCGGGAGCCTCCCTGCCGGGCTCTTCACTGCCCGAGCTGTACCCACCTCTTCATGTGGGAAACACTCACTCAGCAGCATTACTCCTGCACTCTGCCGGCCCCACAGGTGAACAGAACAGCCACGCCACTGCCCCTGCAAACCGATGCACTGGCGGAGAAGGCTGGACACAGCAGAGCCACAAATGAAGGCGTGAGGTTAAACTGCTGCCACTGATTGGGAGGAAAACGCACAGACTCCAAATGAGAACACAGCAGGCGCCTACTGCGGACTTAAAACGAAGGAAATCATTTGCTAGAAGAAAAGCGTAAATGTGCAGAATGGTAGGAGTCAGCCAGAGAAGAAAGAACAGTTCTGTGCCTTTTTGCAAAGGCTGTGAGCAGGGAAAGCACTCAAAACATCACTAGTAGACTGGTATCAGGTAGAGAGCATTCGGATACTGTCATTTATAATTAATACATCATCATCATCATCATCATCATCATCATCATCATCTACATGAATGGGATTGATACAGATTTTGCCTCGTCCACAGTCCAAAGAAAATATGTATAATGATTATGGGTTGAGGTAGTAGCAGGTTACTTGAGCAGCCTTGTGTACCCGAGGGCTCAGCAAGACAGAAACAAGAACAACTGAGGCTGGTATCCGGTACAAGATCCAAGAGGTCAGCTGTGCCAGGGGCCAGGCTCTGACACTTGCAGTACCTGGCACTGATTCAATCTGAATGACCTAACTTTGTATTACCTACAATTTTTAATTTGTCATAAAATTTTATGGTCATTGGGCCAGCCAGATAGCTCAGCGCATTAAAGTGCCTGCTTAGGCAGACACAAAGGCTGGGATTCGATCCCCAGCCTACCTGCCAGCCCTGCCTTGAGAGTGAGCATGGTAGTGTGTGCCTGTAATCCCAGCGCTTGGGAAGCTGAAAACAGGAGAATCACTCTGAGTCCAATATATGTAGTAAGACCCTATAGACCCTGTAGACCCTATAGGCCCTTTACTAAATACATTAAAAAATTTTAATACAAAATAAATAAAATTTTGTGGTCACAAATTTAAAAACTCAAAATCAGTTTGCATATATATATATATATATATATATATAAAGACAAATAAGCAAAACATACACTCACATAAAGAAAAGTAAGAATAATATTTAATAGTCATTAAGAGAAAACAGCTTAACTGGTATGTTGGACGTCCATACACTGGATTCACTAAGCCACCCAAAAGAATAAGACAGAGCCACTGCCCCGACAGAGCCACTGCCCTGATACAAAAAGTGTCTACTACATAAACCAAGGCAGCCAATAGAACAGTGGACATAATGTTACTGAGATCACAGTGCTTTTCTAAAGTCTGGATGTATAAAAAAATATTTGAACATAGTTAATTTTTCCAACAACCTATTTTATTTTTAGGATCAAAAATACGAACAAGTCAAGGGGAAGGGTGTAGCTCAGGGTGGAGCACTCACTTCACGTGCGTGGAGTTTTGGATTCAATCCCTAGCACTGCAAAAAGTAGGTGTGTTCGTGTGTGTGTGTGTGTGTGTGTGTGTGCACATAAACAAGTCAGATAACCAGGGGAAATGAGGACTTTATGCTTAACACTTCACATGAAGTGAGGCCCTTCCCACAGGTACGAGTCTGCCTGCTGGCCTACAGCGAGCTGCTGAGTGCTAGCTGCCGGCCAGCACGTCAGCAGGGTCCAGATAGCTGAGCTGAATGCCACAGATTCCTGCCATGCTGTCTGCAGCAAAGACACACCTAGTGGAACTGCCACACTGCAGGTCTTTGGAAGTTTGTTACTCATTCATGAAATGTATAGTAACTTTCTATTAAACAATGTAACATCGTCTGTAACATCGTAATAAGTGGAGAAAATGGCTTGAGATTTTGGGAGAAAAACTAAAGAAACAATTGTCATTGCTGTCTCTATGTCCTAATCATTACCTTGAGTCATTTCTCTATGACACTTCCAAGTAAACATTAAGGAACTTACTATGCGATAAACCGGCTCACAGACCCCGCCACCTCCCGTCCTCTCCACGAGGACACATCACACGGCTTCACAGGGTGCAAAGGTGCATCTAACCAATGCATGGAAAGCAATAACAAGCAAGACGCATGCATGCACTACTGCAAGGAAAACACATACTGCATATATGAAGTTGGTTCTTCATCAACAGTCAGGCTCAAAAGAACTACTGAATCAAATGAAGGTTTCTCTTTGTCTTCTTACATGCTAAGATATTACAAAGTGGCTTTTTAGCAAAAACTGAATAAACAAAAACTAAGTGAGGAACTTCACATTAGGGAGCATTACTTCTGAGCTGATTTCTACGTATCATTGGACTCGTTTTTTTTTTTCACTAGTCACATGCATGCTGTTGACATTATTCTCTTACCGCAAGTTATTTCTTACTACTTTCTAAATTAATCAAATACTGATAAGAAGCCCTCTCCCTCAGCAGAACTGAATCAGACCATGCACACAACCTACTTCAGGGGAGTCATCTAATGCCGGAGATATAAAGCAAAAGTAGCGATATAGCAAAGAGCCTCGATGCTGCTTGGAGTGAGGCAGTCGGCACTGAATTTTGAGTGGACTTTGTAAGTTCTTTCCCTTCTCTGAGTGTTAGTCTCCACATCTCTAAAAAGCTGGGCATGGTGAAGCCCTCCTATAATCCCAGCACTTGGAAGGCTGAGTCTGGAGGATGGCCACAAGTTCAAGGTCACCCTCAGCTACATAATGAGCTCAAGGCCAGCCTGCACTATCTAGTGAGACCCTGTCTCATCAAAACACGTCTGTGAAATGCAGACAAACCACGTGGAGCACAGGAGTACTAAGCAGTAACACAAGTGAAGCACCTAGAACCCCGCACCTGGTACATTCTAGGTAATAATGTTTGACAAACAGCAACACAAGTCCTTATCATGTTCCAGGTATGATTTTAGGTGCTTTACCTGAATAATTAGTCAGTGACAACCAGTACTACAAACACAGCCTTCACCTTCTGCTTCTCTCCATTTTTGTGGCTAATTTTCAATCTCAGTTAAATACCACACAAATCAAAAAGGTACTGTGGTAGGTACTGTGCTAAACTAGTCTAGAGTCTTTTTTTTCTTCTTTTTAAGACAAGGTCTAACTATGCAGTTCAGGCTGGCCTTGAGCTCATTTTGTAGCCCTGGCTGGTCTTTAACTCACTGCGGACCCTCCTGCCTCAGCCTCCCCAGCACTGGGATTACTGGTGTGCGCCAACCACGCCCATAAGGATTATTTCCTTTAATTCTCACAACAACCCTGACATCAACAGAGTAGAAACTATTATTACTAATATTTTACAGATTAGAAACTGTAGGCTTAGCAAGATTAAATAATTTGCCTAAGGCCACACACCTAATAAAGTCTGATGTTAGATCCTACACGCTTAGCAACTCTTTTAGTATTTTTCAAAGGAAAGTACAACTTTTAAGAATTTCAAAGCTATTGCTGAACGTCAGTTAGTTTTACTGAGTTCTGGAAACTGATGAGTCACATGACCACGTGCACCGCTGCCCATCGGTTGTCCCCTGAATCGAACCCGCTCCCAATTCCCTGCGTGTCAGGACAGGTAATCTGCTGTCGACAACCTGCTTATCTTTTAAGAAAGCAGTTGCTGACGCTCTGCACTCGTGCAAGGCAGAAACCCGGACTTTGACACAGACCAGGCTGCAGAAAGCCTGCGCGGGCCGCCTACTCCGCCCACTTGTCCCGCGCGCCGGACCTCCGGCAGGCTCGGTCTCCGGATGCCAAAAGCCTAGCAAGGCACGGGGGCGACTGCATGGGACGCCGGCTGGCTCTCCTCGGCCTCCCGGAGCATCTCAAGCCCCTGTCGGCCAGCCTCCCCCAGGCGGCCTGCGGGTGGGAATGGATTGCGCAAGGTCTCCAGGAAAGTCCTCACTTCCGCCCTGCGGCGGGAGACGGAGCCCTAAGGAACCCGGGGAGGGCGCGAACGGAGGAGGGGCCGAGCCTCCCCTAAGGCGAGACGACCGTGTCAGCTCTTCTCTCGAGAGCGGCCGTGAGGATTCAGGGGAGCCCCGCACTAGGTTCTGGGACTGGGGACCCGGGACCCGGCCGATGCCCCTCGGGGCGGACGGGGACCCCAGCTCCGCCGCCGCTCGCCGCGCCCGCTGCGCCCGCACACCTGTGGGTCGCCGGGGCAGAAGGTGGGCGCCGCATCTCCGTGACGGCGCCAGCAGCCAATCGGAGCGCGCGCCCCCCGCAGCGGGCCAATCGCAGAGCCCCTCGGTCCGCCGCTCCGAATCCCCGCAGAGCCTCCACTTGGGCTCCGCAGACCCCAAAAGCTGCTGAGGCCGTGCCGAGTCGCTGGAGGCCCAAGAAGGCGAGGGAGAGTTGGCGAGGCGAGGAGAAGGCCACCAGGAAAGCACTCACCAGCGCGGGCGCGGAACGGCCGCTTCTCTCTCCCTCAATCTGTGCCGGCCGACACGCCCCCGCCAACCGCCGCAGCGCTGGGGTCCCAGGGTTCGCCCCGGAGCCCCGCCGCCTCTTTCGAAGGGGCCAATCAACGCGCGGGGGCGTGGTCTTGGGCTCCGCCCCGGGTGCCCGGGAACACGGGACCAGCGCGCGCAATTGAGTCAGCCAGGCGTCTCCCGAGCGGGGTGGCTAAACCCCAATTTTCTTTCCTGTTTTTCGTTCTTCCCCACGCCCCAGTACTGAAGACTGAACCCAAGGCCCTCCTTGGGAGGGCCTACATCCCCACTCCACGGAGCTATATCCCCACTCCATTTTTTATTTTGAGACAGAGCGCTTACTTGCAGTCTTTCTGCCTCAGCCTCCCGAGTGCTGGCGTTTCAGGCGTGCGGCTCCAGTCCCCACTGGTCGCCGAAAGACGAAGTGATTTAGTAGCATCGCGAGTGCTCTTCCTCTGGGAAACCTAGAGGCACGGAAGGAAACGTTAGCCGGACCCCAACTAAGCCCTGCTCGCTGCCTCTGAGCTCTGAAAAAAAGCGCAGTGCTTATCGGTGCGACAGTGTAACAGTGCTCTTGTTACAATGTAACGACAGAGCTGCGCCAGCTCCAGGGCTCCCGGTGGCTTGCTCCTGTGAGACCCTGCGCTGCCAGAGGCAGAAGGTCTGTCTTCCACCCTGGACCCCCACCCTCCTGCCTGCCCTGTTACCTCGATCCAATCCTGTCACCTCTCCTGTCTCCAATATTCCTTCCCTAGAGTGGACATGGTCTCTCTCTTAGTATTTATTGTTTTCTTCTCTCCGTGAAAAGAGCTACAATGTCGCTCGCTGGAAAAAAACTAAAATGAAAACGCCTGGCTCAGTTTCAGAGCGCTAAGGAGCATAGTGAACGCTGACCACAAGTCTTGGGACGGTGGTTGGAGATTCTTTTCTGCAGACAAGTAGGATGATTATAAGGAGGAAATTGTATGAATGCATTGAACGAGCTGAACTTTACAGGATGAGTAAGAATCTGCCAGAAAGGAAGAATAATTGAAAATAACAGGTGCTTTCCAGGCAGCGAGGTTCAGATGTGGGGCCCGGGAAACATTCCGAGAATAGTAGCTCTGAATGCATACGATTTGAGGTCCGGGTCGCAGATCCGCCTAGAGCTGTGGGCAGTGCTGAGGAGTGGAGATTCTTTCCTGCAGATAAGTAGGACAATTATAAGGAGGAAATTGCATGCATGCATTTGTGTGCTAGCAGCAAAATCGTTTTCAAATATTTTTGAAGAAGGGAGTAAAACAGGTGGCAGTTTCGAGTTTAATGAGGGCAATTACCTAAGACACTCAGAAGGACTGGTAAGGAAGGGATATCTGGAGCTATTCACAGAGGATGGCTTCGCTGACCTCAGTGATTGTGTGGTAGTGTGGACCTAGGGAACACAGGGGAACAAGCTCTGCAGAGAGCCGTGCACTTTGATTTAGGATGCACTCGTGTTGAAGAATGAAAGAAACACATAAGTACAGATGTTCAGAAGATAGTTGGAAAGTTAGGTCTAACATTGTTTAAATTGGTCTGGGAAGAAGATATGCATTTGAAAAATCAATTCACAAGTTTTATCGACTACAGACTTCTGCAGAAGGCTCTATCCGACTCACCAGGGACCCAAGATGAATGGCAGACGACGGTCCCTAGAAGTTGATGTACAAGAGGTAACTGAACCAGAAGCTACACAGCAATTACTTTTCTTAAAGTGAAGTCCCAGAACTATTTGTTGCCCATGGCCTATGGCTCCTGTAGATAGATATATTCATAGGACCTGTTTCTAGTGAACTTTTTTTTGGGGGGGAGGGTGTCTACAGGGTGTTCAGGGTCTCACTGCATAGATCAGACTCGTAGTGATCTACCTGTTTACAGCCTCCCAAGAACTAGGATTACAGGCACGCACCACCATGCCCTGTCTCAATTGCCATCTCAGTGCACCCCTGGAATGGGGCAGCACAGGCCTGGGGATCAAACCCCCGGCCCCTGCGCCTGCTTGCAGGCACTTTAATCTGCTGAGCTATTTGGCTGGCCTCCTCTAGCGAACTATTTCTATTTAAAAATAAAGGACAGGGCAAGGAATTTAGCTCAGTGGTGCACGCCTGCATGGCAAGTGAGGGATCCTGAGTTCAAATTCCAGTACAAAAAAAGGGGGTGATTCAAAACTAAAGGACAGCTCATACACCACCTCACAAAGATAAATTTTGAATTGAGTTGATAGAGATTTTAACATGAATTTGTAGACCCCTAACATCAAAATACAGATCCTGCTCTACAGCGCCTCCAAGATAATCCAGTTGTGTAGTGCAGATCTTGTTTGGTGAGTCAGTTGTGTCAGGATTCTTGTAATTGTTTTACATGCATTCCTTTTTTTCCTCCTCTCCCTCTCCCTCTCTCCCCCCCTCCTCTCTCCTCTCTCCTCTCTCCCTCCCTCTTCTTTCCTCTCTCCTCTCTCTTTTCTCTCCTCTCTCTCTTCTCTTTTCTCTCTCTCTCTCTCTCTCTCTCTCTGTCTCTGTGTCTGTCTCTCTGTCTCTGTGTCTGTCTCTGTCTCTCTCTCCCGCTCCTTCTCTCTCTCTCTCTCTCTCTCTCTCTCTCTCTCTCTCTCTCTCTCTCTCTCTCTCTCATCTTTTTGAGACAGGCTTTCACTCTGGAGTTCAGGCTGACCCTGAGCTCACCTGGTAGCCCAAGCTGGTCTCAAATTCACAATGATCCTCCTGCCCTCCCAAGCATTGGAATTACAGGCATATGCCACCACGCCTGGCTGTTTTACATGCATTCTTTTGCCTATACTTGAATACCATTTTAAAAAAATGAAACCATGCCCCTCTGCACACACACACATACACATGCATGTGTGCATACACACACACCACTTAACATTTGAAATCATTTACTGATACTTTCCACCAGGACACATCTATGGTCACACTTTCCTTATTCTCATTTGCTGTTTAGTTATTAAAACATAGGCCAAGCCAGGCATGGTGGGAGGCGAATGCAGAAGGATCACAAGTTGGAACCCAGTCTGGGCAACGTAGCAAGACACTCAATATTTTAAAACATACAAATAAGTTTTTAAAAAACTGGCACTTGGAATCAAACTCAGGACTTTGTGCTTAGTTCAAAGAGCTAAAGATATAGCTCAGGTCCTGGTTAGTACCACAAAAATAAATACTCAAACACACAAATGACTGGGACAAGATAGTGTAGCATCAGGAAATTTTTCAAACCCTCCTCTTTAAGACCATTTTCTCCACTGGTTAAAAGAATGATTGAATTCCCAACTGGGTTCTTTGAGTCGTGTTGATATCTAATGTATTCTGCTTGCACATAAAGCTCTCCTTGGGTGTTCCCAACCTTACTTTCCATAAATTCCTCATGCACTGTCTTTCCCTAACCACCAGGACCATCTTACCCACCTTGATTTTAACACTGCAATTACTAATTGAGGGTTGCATCTAATAAGCTGCAATCTACTTTCAGGCTTACGCTGTCTAATTGGTGGTTAGGGTACTAGCCATGTTGTAGAGTGTCTCTCTTTTGTTGAAATTGGCATTGCTGTAACATGCAAAGCAAGATGCACCAGTCTGCAGAGTCTTCAGCTGGACCTGGCATCCGTGTAATGTGCAGAGCAAAACTCATCAGGCTACAAAATCGAAACATTGTGACTCTGTGGTTGAGAAGGTGTGCCCTGCTTTAAGAAAGCCCAAGTTTAGAAGTTTAAATTTTAAAAATTCATATTAGGAATGATAATCTGCCTGATTAAAAAGCTCTGTAGAACACTGCAGGATCTCTGAAAAACATGGCCTTTGGATATCGTGACATGCCTTGGTCTCTCCACAGAGCTACATGAATACTTACGTTGCTTAAAACACACTGTATTTATTTGTTGGGGTTTTTTGTTTTGCTTTTCATTGATTTCTTAGATCTTTGCCCAACATTTTTGTTGCTGCTGTTCTTCTTGTTTCATAGATGTTTTTAAGGCTTCGACACTACTGACTTGAGTCAGCCTTGGATTGTGCCTGTGTGAAAATCCTGGATGAAATCCCTGGATTAGCAGAGACCTCACCTTATTCATAATTAAACAGCACATTGTGCTGATATTCTATCGAGAACCAACTACACTAAGATGATACTAAACTGTGTTGAGGAACTGCTACCGATTTCTATTAACAAATAGTATAAGTAATCCAACAATAGGAAATAACAAGCGTTGGGGTTAATACTGAAATGCTGTGTGACCTCTGTGTAATGAGTTAAACAGTGTCCTCCCCGAATCCAGGACCATCTGGAGCCTCAGAGTATGATCCTATCCGGAAATACTGTAAGGTTTTGTAGACAGAACTAAGGCAAGGACTGAGATGAGACCATATTGGATTGCAGGGGTTCCAAATCCAGTGAAAGCTCTTTGTAAGAGACAAAGGTCTGGGCACAGTTGCCTGTACCCGTAGTCCTGGCACTTTGGGAGGCTGAGGCAGAAGGGATCACAAGTTTTAGCCCCATCTGGGCAACTTAGTGATTTAGGGAAACCTTGTCTCAAAATTTATAAATAATTAGGGATATGGCTCGTTGTGAAGATCCTAGGCTCAATCCTCAGTACCATAAAAAGAGACACAAAAGGACATGTGTGGAGAGACAGAGAGAGAGAGAGAGAGAGACAGAAAGACAGAGACAGAGAGAGAGACAGAGAGAGACAGACAGAGAGAGAGAGAGAGACAGAGACAGACAGAGACAGAGACAGAGAGACAGAGACAGACAGACAGAGTCAGAGACAGACCATGTGAAGACTGGTAGAGATTAGACTTGTGCACTGATAGACCAAAGACTGCCCAGAGCCATCAGAATCTCAAAGATGTAAAGGGTGATTCTTTCCTAGAGCCTTTCCTAGAGCTGGGCTCTGATGACAACATGGTTTTAAATTTCTGACCCGTAGAACTGTGCAAGAATGGATATCTTGATTTAAATGGCTAAGCCTGTGATAATACCAGAGCCAT